TTCCACCAACGTGGCCAGCATCCGGGGAAAGTGTTTGAACATATTCCGTGTGGCAGCGTATTCCTTTCTTAGTCGTGCCCCACGCCCTCTCGCCACCCTGTCCGTGCGGCCTCTACGGGTCTCACGGCAAGGCGGTCTGCGGCTTATTGCCACGCCTGAGAGGGCGTCGACTATTTTATCAATTATGGGTTCTGTCGGGGGGAGCTCCCCCTTCAGAACACCATTGCATGTAGTTGCTGCCCACATAAATTCCTCTACGTCCCCGGGCACATCGATCTTCAAAGCATAATCGATGGCTCCGGCTCTCCAATCGGTCAACGACGATCTGCCGGCGCGCGGTTCCTGGACCGGTTGCGCGGGCGACGTTGTCTCTGGTGGAGGTACGTGCCTCGGCACTGGCTCCACTAATTCCAATCCTTCATACGCGGAATTCTTTCTGTCAGTGAGAGGCTCGGAAAGCGGCGCACCGCCCTCCCCGCACGAAGCCCTCCCACCGTGCGCCTTAGACCAAGACCGGGCCTTCTCTCGAATTTGTTTCGAGGTCCGGCCCGGCATGAGCCCGGCAATAACGGCGGAGTAACCGCGGGGTAGTGCACCGACATCAGCCGGTCAAACATCGCTCCTCTTCGACGGTCCATCTTCCACTGGCACCCCCTTGTATAGATGTGGCTGCTCCGGGAGGACCGTGAACAGCCAGGGGGTTGCACTTTTTCATGTGGATGGACCGTCCAGCCTTCGTGGTAAAGCACCGAGGGCAGTTGGTACAGGGGAATTCCCTCCGGACTACATCGGAGGGACCTGACACAACTGGCCCTGGGCAACGACTCAGGTGGCAGGAGGCCGCATGTGACCCTCCGAACCCTGCCCCACACCTAGCACAGTTGAAGCGGAGCTCAACCGTCGGATGGGATCGTTTGAAATGTTTGGTCAGGCCTCCCGATGTCTCGCCTACACTCGTACACATCGACCCGCAGAGCGGGCAGACTATCCGACAAGGCTCAGGCACCAGGCAGACCACCCTCGTCATGTCGGGTGAGACGTCAAAGCCAGTATTTGCAACCTGCGCAGCTGGATCGGCTGTACGGCCCATGGCTTCTTACCAAAATTATTGCATGTGAGCGATATTGCGAGTATCCAACCTCACCTAGGCGGCGACATTGCCCCGTCAGTTACCAGCTCACCTGCCCCCCCAAAAGAGGTTGAGACAAACGGCGGCGTGCCGGCGGTGCCATCTAGGAGGTGGGGTTGTCTTGATCGAGAGAGGCTAAGTCATCAGAGATGATATGTTCGCATCTCGACCCTTTATTTCACCATTGGACTCTCCTCACCAAGTTGTAATCGTCAGATGACGGAGATCCGGGGTCTCCCTCCGTTACATCGGAGCGAATCCCCAAAGGTAGACAGAGAGAGTCATAATTACTCCCTCTGTTTACCCGCGCTTTTTTGAATTTCTTCAAGTTGACATTCAGGGCACTGAGCATAAATCACAATGCTTCAACATTCGTCAGGGTCATTAGAATGCTTACTTTTAATTAAACAGTCGAATTCCCTTGGTCCGTCCCAGTTCTTGGTTGACCGTTGAACTCTAAATTTATTTTTTTATTAACTGAAAATTTAACATATTTCCGGTCTCTGCCGATTCTCGTTTCCTCGGATGCGGGCCGCCTTTCTACTACCTTCGTCCGAAACTTCGGTCCAAGCATGGATCACGTAGACTAGTCTGTGAGAACGCGGCCTCATTGTTCTTAATTGCATGTGCCCAAAGTTCAGATATTTTACTTGGCGGGACTGCGCCATCATAATTTACGTCCCAAAACAGGTTAATTGGCAGGTTTAATTCGCGTCCTAAAAATAATTCCGCCGGAGTATATTTTGTCGTAGAGTTTTTGGACGAATTGATTTCTATATGTAATTTATCTTAATGCAGTGCCCAGTCTGTTTGTTTTATTCCGTAGAATGAGATTAAACCGTTCTTCAAATCTTTAATTTGTCTTTCCGCTTTGGATGGGTTCGGATAATGTCTAATTAAATAATCGGTATTTATCCCCTTATTAAACAAAGATTGTTTGAACCTATGTGACGTAAAAATGGTTGCGTTGTCGCATACCAAGGTTTGTCAATAACCGAAATTTTGAAATATATTTTTATTGAGGATATTTAGAACTGATTGGGTTTTGGCCTCTCTTAAGGGATATATAAGTGTAAATCTGGACATGCTATCAACCGTTATTAAAATGTACCTGAAACCGTTGCTATTGGGGAGTGGGCCGGCTAAATCTATAAAAACTCTTTCTCCGGGCTTTTGTGCAATAAAACTTGACATTGGACGTCAGATTTTTGGTTTGTTGGCATATGGTGCATTCTTGCACTAAACGCTTAACAAGTTTGAATAATTTCGGCTTGTAAAATAGGGACGCGATCTTATGGAATGTTTTATAAATTCCTTGGTCACCACCATACAAAGATTCGTGGTAAAATTTAAACACGGGAGCAAATAAATTCTCGGGGATTACGGTCTTAGGTTTCCGGTTACCACTTTTATAGAATAGTTTATTTTTTATGAAAAGATAATGGGGGACTGATTTTTTAATTTTCAACTTATTAATTATCGTGGAGAGAGCCGGGGCTTGTTTTTGGGCGGAGATAAAATTCGTAAACAGCTCAGGCATGCTGTTTACAGTATTAAGCTGTATAGGTCTGGCTTTGGTCGGAGGATCCATAGGGTTACGCGAGAGATAATCCGCAATTGTATTTTCTTTTCCCGGGATGTGGTGGACATTATATTTAAAAACCATTATTTTAATCGCAAATCTCGCGTATTTGTGAATTTTATCCTGCAATTTAATTACATTTGTTAAAGCGACATGGTCTGTGTACAAGTCAAAAATGGCCGATTCCAAATAAATTCTATATTTTTCGAAGGCGTAGGAGATCGCTAGGGCTTCAAGTTCGAAGGCACTATAATTTTTCTCCCTGTCTTGAAGTTTTCGTGAAGAAAAACTCACAGGTTGAAAATGTCCCTCGACTACATGGGCCAGACATACTGCGATTCCCGACTTTGAGCCGTCTGTAAACAACGCAAACCTTTGCGAAAAATCCGGGGTTTTTAATGTTGGGGGGAAGTTAAGGCGCGTCTTAGTGCTGACCAGGCAATTTCATGTTCTTCTGTCCACATGAATTTTGTTATGTTTTCTGCGGAGGTCGTTTAAGAGGGCCGATATTTCACCGAAGTTCGGGATAAATTTATTCAAGAAATTTATTGATCCCACAAATTGCGCGACTTGGCGTGGGGTCGTTGGTCTTGGGATATCTAAAATTGGCCTGATCCTGGAAAGGGAAATTTCTACCTTTCCTTGGGAGATTGAGTGGCCTAAGAATTCTATCTGCGTCTGTGCAAGCTGTAACTTGGCAGGATTAACCATCAAACCTGCATTGGCCAGTCGACTAAATACAATTTCCAAATGTTCCCTATATTTTTTGAAAATTGGGGGAATATACTACAACATCGTCGAAATAAAAAAATACAAACTTACATAATAAATCGCCGAAATTTTTTCCATTAAATGGGATAGAACTTGACCCCCTATGGCAAGACCGAACGGGATAGTTTTAAATGCGTACGTTACCCATGGTACCTGAAATGCCGTTAATTTTTGACTGGTTTTTGTTAGAGGGATTTGGTGATAGGCCGCTTTCAAGTCTAAGACTGTGAAATATTTTCCCTCTCTTAAATGAATAATAGCTTCCTCTACAGTGGGGAATTTGGTGGGCAAAATAAGTGATTTTTTTATTTAGTTCGCGGTAATCTATAACTCCTAGCTGGAAATCTTTTGCTCCGCCTTGTTTTGGCACCAAAAAACATGGCGACGTGAAATGGGTTTCGATTTGTATAATCATCTTGTCTTCAACCAATTTACTGATTTTTTCTTTCAAAATTTGTTACCGCTCTGGGCCAATACCGTAACATACTCGGAATTTGTATCGACTGGTCCGAAGTCGTATTCTTTTAAAGTTTTTGACTCTGAAACAAAAAAGACAGAAATTGTAACGAAAGTAAAAGGGCTGAAATTAAATTTTTCTACATCTCAATTGGTAAATTTTGAATCTATGGTCCAATTGGTCGCGTATAACAAGGAAATTAATGTACCCGTTAAAAACATTAACATAACACCGAAATTTGACATTGTTACAGCTATTGGGAAAAAAGTATTTAGGATGGACTCCCAAAAACGAAAAATCGTTTCGGGTATTGCTACCGTGCCTTACGGCTTCAAAAAACGCAAGTTTACATGAAATACATTTTAGTGATAATTTCTGTTTTTGTAAAGTTATTAAGATTATCAAACCGTTACTTATAAGTTTATCTGTATCATTTATACTGTTTTCATACTAGTGTGATCATGTACAAAAAAAATAAAAAATAAAATGTTTTTTCTAGAAAATTCTTTTTATTTTATTTTTATGAATAAACTATACATTGATACTTAGCACCTATATATATATATAATAGAAAGAGAGAGAGGGAGGGAGTAACCGATGTCAAAAAGAGGTATAAAGAAATGAATTATAATTTTTTAAAATCGTATTATTATTATTGTTGTAAAATCAAATACATAATTTTAATATAACTAAAAATCATAATCTTTTATGAACTAAAATTAATAAAAATTTGAAACTTTTATTCTTTAAATAAATGCCGAAGCCAGTTAACAAAATTGGGACAAGAACATGCATGTTTATTACATTTCAATTTATTTAGCCGTGCCTTGATACGTCGGTTAATAGCTTCTGCCTTTTTTTTTTTTTTTCTGAAAAATAATTAATTACAAGATCTATTGCTACTTCCATTATCGTAAAAATTGTATACTTTTTCGACACGTTTTATCCTTTGGTCTGTTTTATTTTTTTCCTTCTGTATGTGAACATTTCCTTTCCCTTTCCCTTTTTCATTATGTTTAGACTCAATCACTTTTTTCATTCCAATTATTTCTCTTAATTTATTTCCGCATGTCGCATTGCTTCTTCGAAATCCTAAAATAATTTTGAAATTATTACCTAATTATTGAAGTAATCTATAAGAAATTACTGTAAGATTGACAGTATCATCCCACAAGTTCTGCGAATTGGCTGCACAAATTTCCTTTTTTCCGTCGCTTTCCTAAAAATAAAATGTAACGCACCGTATAATCGAAATAATTACAATGTTATGTAGGAAGTAAGTAATTATTGTTCAAAATTTTAAAGTTTTAATATTTTTACTTCTTTTTTTTATGTTTTTTTTTCTCGTTCTCATCCGATCTGTTGGATTTTTCTTCCTCTTTAATTTGAACCGGATTTTCCAACGTATACACCTTTAAGATATCGGAAATTTAGTAATAATTTTAAAATGTACTTCAGCCCACAAAACAGAAAAATAAATTAACATTTCTAATCATAATTTAAAATCTGCAGAAGCGACATTTTACTCAACAATATAAGATTGAGAAAAATAATATAAACTATTGTCACGGCCCGGTTGCCGAAAGCGTGGGGTTCCCAACAAAGCCGGGGGAGTAGGGGAAAACAACATGAATGTGCGCCCGACGAATGCCCTTGTGTATCGGTGACTCCGAGCGGAAGAAGACGGCACTGTCATTCGTAACTATTAAATCCATTACAAATTGTATGTCTCAATCTTCCATGAGTAATCACTGGTTAACTTAATTAAATTTTGTGGGCATATATTCTTTTTCATTATTATTTTGGTGTTGGTAATTTTGAAAGTAAATCGTTTTAGTTTTTTTATTATTTCATTATTTTTATTAACCTTGTGATCCTAATTTTCAATTCTATTTATCCATAGTAGTGGGACTCTTTCGGAAGGTTAATCGGGAGAGTTCACTCTAATTAGTCGGGGGCTCTCCGAAAGTTAAGCGGAGGGCTCACACTATTATATGAATTAATTAAATCAAAAGTACTCAAGTCACATTCCGCAATTTGCTGGCTAACAGTATCCATATTGGTTTCCACAAATTACCCAACAACGCTAAAATTGTCCAAATCGGTCGGATTTTGAACAAAGACAACAATAACAAATTCGAATTATATTAACATCAACCTATCTATCAAAGCTATTGTAATTTACGTCAACATTTATTAAAATATTACTTGGTTGTTAGAAAGAAAATATTCCAACACTGATGCCTGAGCCGACGTGCAAGGAATTGAAGAATGATCCATTCTAAATTAGATTGCAAATACATTTAATTAATTTCAGGATTTGTGTACGTAATTCACCGTTTCTATCATTAATAAACATGCATAAAATATTTAATTACTTACATGAAAATTTCCCTTTTTTTCATACGGTGATCCTGCTTTCTACTACTGAATAAATAATAACTTCGTAAATTACTTAATCCTCACAATATTTCTTGATATTCGTAAATGCCCCGAATTTGTTTACTTTTAAAAAGTAGACGAGCGGTACGAGACACCTTGAGATTACCCGGTTCGAATTATCGCGGCAAGCGGATGTAGGCGGGGGGTACGTGGGGAGACTTCCATGGGGACACCACCAGACACGATGATTTAAATGCCGGCGGTAAAACAGAACCAATCAGATCCCATGTTTTTAAATTTAGGCGGAAAAACACCGTGAGACACCTTGACAAGGAAAGTGGTGGAGGGGGGCTGGCGGGAAAACAGGACCAATCAGATCCCATGTTTTTAAATTTAGGCGGAAAAACACCGTGGGACACCATAAGAAGGAAAGTGGTGGGGGTGCTGGTGGTATCCCTTATACTAATCCTTCCCTTTTCATCTTTCTCACTACTATGCCATAATTTGGATTTAGCGTTAGCATCAATCCCGATTAATACTTTTCTACTACCCAATATTCGCAGTATTCCGTCAAGCTTTTGCAAATGGATTTCAATTGGGTCGGAGAACTGGAAATAACCACTCACCACCGCAAATTCCCAATTCTCCCACCCCACCTTTATTACTACCCAATGGGAATCACATAAATTATCCATTTTTAATATATTTAAGTTCGGATTCATTACCACAATTACAGCCCCTTTACTTTCATCTCCCCCAATTACTCTTGCTTCAACTCCAAAACCCATTTTAACTCCTCTCCCAGGAGGTTCCTGTGATAATAATAAATCTGATCTTCTCTATACTGCGCTTACTTTTATCATATCTATAGCCATCATGCCTCTTCCTAAGTTCACCTGCCCTATTCTCAAATAATTCTCTATTCTCCATAGTTGGTTCTTAATATCCTATTTTTTAGAGCAACCCTGTAATTCTCACATTCTTCACCATCTCCCATTCTATGTTCCCATTTCCTTCCACTTCTCTTACAGGGCGGACATATATCTTTTCCATCCATCTCCTTACAGTTCTTTCCCAGATGTCCTTCGTCCCCACATTTCCTGCATGTCATCTCTTTTCTCCTGCATATTGCTTGTGTATGCCCGTACTCATAACATCTATTACACCTAATAACTCCGAGGAAGTCTGCCACCCTGCATGCATAGAATCCTAAGAATAGTCTCTCCGGCCTTATAAGATCCATCCTCAATTCCACGTCCACGGCATAACCCAATTTATCACCTTCGCATTCTTTCTTCCTGTCTTAAATCTACATTTTATTTTACTTTTAAAGTCTTCCCATGTCCGTCCTATCCTGCTTGCATTCTTCTCATATATCTTTTTAATCAATTCTTCTTCCCTTATCTAATCCAAATATTATAATCAAGGGATTCCGTTTTTTTGGAGAGTTCTACTATATATCCTCTTTCCTTTATGATTTTCGATTCCTTCATTTTTCCCATATCCTCTCTTCCTTCTACCCATACAACTATCCCTTTTTCTCTCGATCTCCTCATGTTGCTCACTTTAATCCACTCATCCTCCTTCTCTAACATATTCAAAATATCCTCTGTCACCTCTTCTCCTTCTTCTGACCCTTTAACTACCACTATATTCATATTCTGCTGAATTCTTATACCCTTTTCCTTCATCACATCTGCGTATGTCTTTTTTTCTTTACTTTCTCTCATATCTCCTTCCTTGACCTCCTTCAGTTCCTCTATCTCCTTGTACACCTGGTTTACCTTAAAATTAATACACTCTTTAACCTCTCTTCCCATGATTTCCAAATTCCCTACAAACTCCTGTTCCATGTTCTTCATTTTTTCTCGCATTACTGTGGCCATGCTTTCACATAGTGCTTTTAAATCTATTTGTCCTCCTTCTTTTCCCTCACTCCTTTGAATTTTTTCTATCATCTCATCCATTTCATCTTTCAGCAGATCCATATTTTTTACTATTTCCGCATCCATTTTCCCTATACCTTCCGCTATTCTTTTGAGTTCTTCCACTTTCTTTCCCACTCGTGTTAATTCCTTCTCAATATCTCTCCTTAGCCTTTCTCCCATTTCCTAACACTCTTCTGCATTTTTCCTAAAAATCCTTGCATGCAATTCTTTATTTCCTTACTCATGTATTCTCTCATATCCTCTAACATGTTCTCTTGAATTCCAACCCTATTCAAAATCCTTCCGATTCCTCTCGTTCCCATTCCTACTCTATCCGCATTTCTTGCTTATATTCTTTTTATTTCACTTAATTCATTCCGTATTGTCATATTTTCTTTCCTTATTTCTTCAATCTCATCTTCCAATCCCATATTCCTTGCTCTTTTCACACCAGTATATCCCATGTGATGTGTATACATATTCCTAATGATTTTCATTAATTTTGTGATCCTTATGTGCATATATTTCCCAGCCTTGTCTCCAACGTTCTTTCTAGCCAGTTCCATCCATTTCATCACCTCCTGTTCCACCGCCGTCGCCTCCGCAAACCAAAACATCATCTCTTCCGCACCTTCACCTAATGTCGCCTCAAGCTCTATTACCCTCTTGCAAAAAGATAGGAATAGAAGGTGAACTTCTAGTCCTTTTCTTAGTAGTCGATAAAGGGGCCTCCAGCCTCCAAATACTCTTCTCTACCAGAGGTGATCTCCATTGATCCTCCCTCTGTCTCCTCTCCCTCAGTCGGCGAGCCGGGAAGCTCAGTGTCCAATGGCGCCTTTGGACTTACTTTTTCTTCTGTACCTGACCTCTTCCGATGCAACCCCAGTCCCGTCACAGTGGAAAACCCTCTACCACACTCAAGACAAATATCGTTTGTCCTATCGTCCATAGTCAGTGTTTAATTTAGCCCAGTTGACCACCCTTCTATATTCGGGACCATTGTTCACCCCAACCTCATGAACCGCAACCTTACCAAAAACGACAGGTGAAACATACAGGCACAGACTGAGCCGACGGACAAGCCGACCTAATATGACCCTCAATTCCACAATGACCACATGAGTTGGCGGCCATCAGACAATGAACAGAGGTATGTCCAAACCCTTGACACCTAAAGCACATCACCACAGATAAGAAGTCCTGTACCACACATGAACTCCAACCGACACATAACGAGCCATGCCTCATAACGTCTCTGTAAACCTGCTGAGACATCTCAACAACCCATCCCCTAGTCCTATGATCAGGGCGACCCAACTTATACAAAATCTAAAACCCGGAGATAAAGTTCTGACGCTCCATACCACTAGTAGACCTGAACTCCTCCAGCACCTCTTCATCCTTTTTATCGTTAGGTATTCTCCTCACCACTACACAGGGCCTCCTCTTCTTTAACTCTGATGCAGCAAATCCCAGTTCCCTAACCTTGACAGAACCCACAGTCCTCTCTTGATCCTCAGGTTTAGCCACATCTATTACAAGATCTTTGTCATTTCTCGTTCTAAACTTCACCACACTCCATCCTTCTTCCCTAGGATTAAGCGCAGCAACCAGCCTCTGGAACACATTGAAATTACTGATTGATTTCTGCATGCAGAATATTTGCACAATGTTAGGTCTATTTAATATTATTTTGACGTGCTGTTTGTCTACATGTTACATGTGGGGTATTGAAGAGAAATCAACCTGGCGCGTATTAATTAAACGTCCAGGCTGGGCAAAACTCTTCGGGGACGCGTGGATTTATTTTTATTTGCATTAATTTTTATTTTTATTTCGCGTCCGCGGTTCGCCATCTTCAAAGTTATGGTCTGCGAGTGGGATGCACTCCTGGACAGCACCACAGTGGTTGGTTGCAGATGGCGGACCCCGTCTCGAACAGCCTTGATTGTCCTTCGCTGGCCTGTGAATTGGATACTGG